AATAAGATTTACTTCTTTTATTCTGATTGGCTAATCATATAATCACGTGAAAAGGTGAGATATTTGGAACCCCCCCCTCGATAATCACGTAATATGTGTCACTCCCCTTACTAGTTTATTGATTTTATCTCTTTTATAGATGAGAGACGAAACCCCTTAATAATAGTCAAAACTTAGATGAAACTATATTAAAATCATAATAAAGGATATGATGAAATCCATTTGATATAACGAAAGCTAAAACTGTCGAAACTATATTAAAAATATAGAAAAGGGTATGACGAAATTATTTTGAGAAGGTTTCAGCAGGCATCTATAATCTCTTTCAAAGTCAGAAGTACACTTTTGTATATTGGTCTTAAAATTAATTTTACTATCAAATATAAAGATCAAGATATAAGCTATATTGTAAAAGTTATTGAAAAGATATATAGGGTAGACTGCAACAAAACTAGATAAAGTGAACATTTGATTATATGATATAAATGAGAAGCTGATTATAATGTAACTGATAACGTTTTGAAAAGTAATAATAATGCTCATTTATAACTTATAGACTGGTTAATTTTAATATTCACTTTATCATACCAAAATGTGATGAATATAAACCATAACATGATTAATATAGGATTATCTCTATATATAAAAATATTAATATAAAACTAATTTACATTAAATTGATTATAGAATCAAAGAATTACAGTGCTATTTGAAGCATTCTAAAAAAAAATAAGGAGAAAAAATTACTCCCTATATTTTTAAAATCAATGATACCTAAACACTCCAGGAATATCTAGATAAAGAAAAAAATTACTTATAAAATTTAAATTACTTATTTACTTTTAATTAAAGTCATCTCTTATTTTCTTTAACTTCAATTTGAGTAATGTGTTGAGTCTGCTATTTTCTTAAGAATTCAACCTTACTTTCAAGTTTTTGAATTTTATCTAATAATTCTTGCTTTTGTTTATCATGTTAATCTTTTGAAATATCTAAGACTTTCAAGTGAGAACTTATTTCTTCCTTAACACTGGATAGTTGTTGTGTTAAATTCTTATTTTGTTATTTTAATCTATCCACATAACTCTGAGCTATTATTTCTGTTATGATTGGAGTTTTAACTGGTGACTCATCTTTCCTTAAATCACAGAAGCAATCTATTCTATTTTTCATAGCTCAACCATAGTCATTACAATGTAGTAGAGCATTATTATCAAGATTCTTTTTGCATTCAACACAGATATAAGCAATATTATTATAATCATTATTATTGGTATTATAAGATAATATTTTGTAAGTAGCAATTAAAATTTTTTCTTTTTCAAAAGAGCAAAAATTGCAATGTCATTTATCTTCTTTTCTTAACTCAATAGCTTGATATTCTAACTTCATTATTTATCTTTTTATAAGATGTAAGTGTTGAACTTCTCTTAAGTTATTATTTTTACTTGCTTAATTCTGCTTTTTACTTTGTTAGTTAGGAGTTTAAATTTAGTTTGTTTTTTTAGCAAAATTGGCAATTCTTGAAGTTGCTTGTTTGTTAAATAATTCTGTCATGTCACAAAATTTTCCAGCATCTCTATTTTTCTTGAAGCTTTTTTTAAGTTGTCATCTTTTTCTTTGCTTTGCCTTACTCTTCATTATCTAGCTACTTTAAGAGCATCTAAATGGCATTTAGAAATATTTTTCTCTAATTCTAATGTTTCTTTTAAGACTTTTTATTCTTCTTCTAATTGCTTATTTATTTCAAGTAATTCATTCTTCTTTTTCTCTAAATTAGTTGTTAATGATTATAAACTTTTAACTTCTTCATTAGATTTCACTCACCAAAATATTGCATTGTGATGTAAATAAATAAGGCAAATAAAACTTTTTTTAAATCCTTCATCTCCTAAATACTGTAAATATTGGAGGCAAAGTCAAAAATAATTTTTAACTGCTCTTATCTCTGCCTTGTTCGGATTTCAGTTTAAATTACCAATTAGTTCTTTTATTTTCTTTTTGGTTAAAATATTATTTTGGTTTGTCATGATTTTAATTCCTATATTATTATTTTAATATTAAAAGATTAAATATAAAGAATTTAATAGAAACAAATAAAAACTAATAAAGTAATAAAATTTGTTAACTGAAATATTTTTATTCATTATCAGTATAGATTAGTTTAGAACAACTTATATTTTTGAATTCATCTCTAACAAATGGGTAAATATTATGATAAAAGTATTCTTGCCTTTTGTAATCCAAAGGAGAAAGAATTAGTAAGAAAATAGAAAAGGATTTAATTTTTTTGGTAATTTCAGAAACACATGCTTTTCTAGTTTTTAACAAATTAAATTTAGTATAAGCATCATTAGCAATCAGCTGAGCTTTGATAATTCTAGGATTAGCTGCTCCAAATACAAAATGCTGAAATTTTTGCAAACCGCTCAATTTCTTAAAGAAAATCTCCAGTACAGAATTAAGATTTAAGTACTGAAAACCTTTTCTATTGTCATAACACTGAGCTTTGTTTAATCCTACTATGCTCAATATTTTTACAACCTTAACAATATGATCTATGCAATCTACGATTATTTTGCGGTATAGTTTCTTAATATGTCTTAGTATCATAAAATTTAATTTGATAGTTTCATAATAACTGTAAATTACCAAATATAGATAAAATCAAATGGTAGCATTATTTTTATTTTGACTGCCCACATTATCACAAGTAATCTTTAAATATTTTCGCCTTTATTCAATCTCTTAATTTCATCGAATACTATGCTTAAGGTCTTTGCCAATAATTTTGTCTTCATTGAAAATGTAATTAATTTGTTCGTATACTACTTCATCTTGAATACCAAATAAATGCAATTTACGTGAACTGAAATAATAAATTTTACTTACTTGTTAATCAGAATGAAAACATGAATATTTTACACTCAATCATAACTGTAATGAGCAGTAGCATCAATGCTACAATAATCAGCTTTACCTCTTATTATAAAATGCTCATCTACTAATTTTCTCTGTTATTCTGCTAATTTCGTATTTTTGTTGTAATAACTTCTCTCTAATTTAGCTTTAACTAGATATTCTTTGAATTTTTTCAGTAAATCTTTAGCTTCTTCCTTCTTATAAGCATTATACTATAAGTCATTCTGAAAATGTTGGCATGTGTCACATAAATCTGTTCTTGGATTCATGATTTGAATATAAGGTATTTAACTGATGCTATAACTTGCGAAATGTATCATATTTTAACAATTTCAACGTGCTATCATTTTCAAGACCTGCAATGACATCACGATAAACAGATTTGTAACTTATTTTAACTGGTAAAAGTATAAGTAATTGAGTAATGTGATTGACATTTCTACCAGAACTTAGTAGTCTATAAATTTCTGTATAATTTTTGAGAAAATTTTTCACAGCAGTAGCAATAGTTATATCCAGTGATGTGTATTGGAAGCTTCTAATAAAATTTATTGGAATTGGAAATTCTATTGGAAAAAATTGGAAGTATTAGAATATGCAGATCTTTCAATATCTTATGTATATTAGAAGCTTCCAATCAAATTTCTTGGATATTAGACATAGTAATTGAAAGCTTCTAATGGAAGCTTCCAATACTTTTAATACCAAAATTAGTAATTTCATTAATTTTATATATATAGTTAACATATATTTGATAATCTTTATTTTCATTTTCATCATCTCTAATGAAAAGACTTAGAACTCACCGTTTTACAAAATATATAAAGGTTTTAGGAAAACAAAATTCTTGCAACACTTATGCAGCATGTATTGCTTGTGTTGAAAAACTAGAAAATGATGAGCTTTTAAAAAATACTTTTACAAATAAAAAACCACAAGTCAAAAATTATTTAAAAAACTGTCCATATTTTCAAGAAAAAATTGGAAGCCAAGAAGAACTGAATGATATTATCAATTTAACAGATAATGAAATAGAAGAAACAAATCAAAAACGGTAAAAAGTAAATAATGATTCAGGTAAGAATAATAAAAAAAGTTAAAATATTTAAAATTTTTGTAATATAAATTCAAAATTTCAAAATTTTAATTAATAGAAATAGAATCATTTAGACTATTTTTATTGACATTATCATTTACACGTAATTCTAATTTTAAAAAAAATATAATTACAAATAATCTTATTCAAACTTCTACTAAAAATGAAATACCAAAATTTGAACACTTTTATTAAAATATTAGTAACAAATAGTTTTCTATTTTAGTGGGTAGATTATTTAACAATTTTGGAATTTTTTGAATTTTTGAATCTATACCTTATTTTATCAAATAAACAAGCTTTATCTAATTATATATTAATAAAAGAAACTAAAAATTTAAATATTTTAAGGGATGAAAAATTGATTAATAATAAAATTAGAGTGGTATTAGTATTTGATGAATGAAAAAACATTTTAAAATAACATATATTTGGATCATTATTTATATTATCTTCAAATGAAATTTTAATATAAGATACTTCAAATATTAGTAGTAAATAAAAATGATTAATTGAAGTAATACTAAAAATAATAGAATTGATTTAAAAAATTAAAAGATTAAATATTAAATTTAATGCAATTATATCTGATAATGCATCAGCTTATACTGCAATACAGCAAATAAAATAAATAAATATTAATATTTGTATTATTTAATTTAAAATTAATATTTATTTAATAATTTATTAATAGACGATGATATTGATTAGAATATTTAGAAATTGTCTTTTTTTCTTGTTTGCATACTAATAGCAATTGGCAATTTGTGATATTTTTAAAGAATCACTAACTTTAAAAACTATATCTAGTAAAGCAATTACAATTACTGCTTATTTTAAAAATGCAAATATCAGTTATTTTATTAGTAAATTACAAAATATTCAGAATGAGCTATATAACAATTATTATTTAATTATAATTCCTGATGAAATAAGATAGAATAATCATTAATTTTATTTTAAAAGTTTTATCTGATCTAAACAAGCTTTGTGAGTAATATAATTATTTAATTAAATTATTATTTATAATAATGTAATAATATAATAATTATTATTTTTATTTAATTTTTAGAATTTAATAATTTATCATGAATATTTACAAATTAGTTTAGAAAATACCAATGAACTTTATCTAAATTCAGAATTTTGTTGAATACTTCTTGATAATAATTAGTAAGAAAAAATCAAATTTTTATAAAATATTTTATTACCTTATTGTAGTGTTTTAAATAAGTTACAATATGATAAAGCATGTCTTTTTAAAGTGCTTTATACTTTTGGGTATTTTATACAATTTTGAAAATATTTTTCAAATTCAAATTTAGAAAATCAAATGATTAATTAATTAGAAAAATGTTAGAGCTAATGGGAGCAACCATTATTATTACTTTCTTTTATATTTAATTTAAAATATTAATTTGATTATTTTAATTCTAAACTTGATAATTTATTATTTACTTCTCTGAGATGATATTTGATATACTATTATAAAGCATGATTTAAAAAATGCCATTATGATTATTATTAGACTTTAAGAATTTTTGTTAGAAAGTTGAACTATTTAATAATGAAACATTTGAACAATTTGAAAATAATACCTTTAAATTTTAGGAATATGTAAAAAGGGATTATAAAGAATTAGTTGCAGTTATTTTGAAACTTTTTGGCATGTATGTAAATGCAGTTTCTATTAAATAAATATGATCTTTATAAGTTTTTTTATATAATTCGTTATAATAGATTAAAGTAAGTTAATTTTATATTTAATTATAACAGTTATTTAATTTTTTTTAATGGCAGTTTATTAATTTATTTGATAATAGTTTATTAATTTCTTTTTATTTGATTATGGATTTCTTTATTTGTTTATTTAATAACAAGTTATTCAATATAACTCTTTTTAATTTATTTGATAGAATTATTTTATTAATTGATTTTTTATTTCTTTATTTTGATAGTGGATCTTTTTATTTACTTGATGATGTATCTTTATTTATATTTGTTTGACAAATATTTATTATTTTATTTTTTTAATAGAATGATAAAGTATTAGTAATGAGTCAACTTTAGACGTCTATTAATTTTTTATTAAGAGAAAAAGAATTACAACAAAATTAAGTCAAATTTTTAGATTCAAATGTTTTTTCAATTGAAACTGATTTTGAAGTTCTTGTTGAAGAAATTAATAAAATTGATGAAGATAATACTTTTATTACTTCTGAATATTAGGAATAAGAATTAAATGAGTGAGAAGAAATATTAAAAGAAGAAGAGTTAGCATAATTGAAAGAAAAAGAGGAGTTAAAAAATAATCCAAATATCAATATGAGAAGTGATCTTTTAAATGAATATATACATTTAGTAATAAACAAAAAAGTAAAATAAAAGTTTAGAAATTTATTTAATTTAACTCTTAATGCTTCTGATTACTTAAATATAAAAAAATCATTTTTTCATTTAATATATAGTTTTCATTTGAAATTTGTTAATTTAATTATTGATTACTTTAAAAGATTCTTTTTTTTTAGTTTTTTTTGGTTTAATCTTCAAACTTTTTTTTTATTGTAATTTATTATTTTTTTTTTTTTATTATTTTTTTTTTTTTTTTTTTTTATTTTTTTTTCATTAATTTTTATTTTTTTTTTTTTTTTTTTTAATTTTTTTTTTTAATTTTCAATATATTCTCCTTTTTTTGTTTTTTCATTTATAATTTTTTTTTTTTGTTTTTTGTTTTTTTTTGTTTATTAATTTTTTTTAATTTGTTTTAATTTATATATATATATATATATATTTTTAATTTCTTTTTTTATTAAGTAAGTATTTTATT